ATATATATATATATATATATATGGAAAAATATAATAACAATCATAACACACATTTTAAAATTTCAGGATTTTTCTATATATAATATAAATACTATAAAGATATGCCTTTACTATATTTATAATTAGAATGTTAATTTGTACAAAATTTTAATATCTGGTTCCGGTAACAAGGACAAGAACAGCAGTGAGGCTCTAGGGTCAGCGCCTTGCGCGGACCCAAAACGCAAAAAAACTCGTATTGATGTACATTCTTGTTCCTCTTACAATTTGTGTGGAAATAAAAAACAATTTTAATTTGAATCTCACCAGTTCATTAACCATCTCCAAGGATAGCTCCTTTATATTTGTTATAACTCCTGTTGTTTTGTTGATAGTAAAGAACTCAAGACTTGAATCCACTGCACTTAACGAATAGACCACCATGCCATTATATCCCTAATCATTACACCAAAACAAGCTGAATGTTAGCATTTATCGTTATTATCAATTATTATTATGTTTATTGCTATTGTCAGTGGCGGATCCAGGGGTGTTCCCCCCCCCCCAATCCTCTGTGAAGAAACGTAACAAAATACTACTGGGTCCTGGCTTACAAAAGGCATGCTAACCTACCTAGGCATAGGTTAGCATATCGGACAAAATAGGCTTAGTCCAACTAGCATTCAATTAAATACAATTAAAAACATTGTTTTAGTTCGACGTCGTAATAATTTAAGTACGAAAGTGTGTTCTTCAGGCCTATCAGTTCATCGATCTGTGGAAGAAAGACACGTATCCAACTACTCAATAATGTTGGAAAATAGAATACATGCCATGTTGGAGGTAGCTAGAGATTTAACAGGAAATAAACCCAATTGACGTGAGTCGAAGTCCCGTTCAGCTGCCCCGAAAAATTTGGGCTTAGATGCTCTCTGGTGACTCTGAAAGTGCTGAAATTAAACCTTAAAAATGTGTAGCTTTAATAGGAACGATAGAATTTTGGATGATCTGGGCCTGATAAAATATAGAATTGCAAAGGTTTCTAGTATTTTGATGAAAAGTTTGGGTTTAATCAAATAAAGCTTGAGATTAGTGGAAAAGCGCAAGATTTTAGAGGAGTGGCTTAAGATTTGTTCACGCCGGATGCGTGAGACTTGGTAGGTATGATATAGGCCTAATAATATATTGACTATATCCTTGATTTATTTTCTATGGTATAGGCCTAAGAATGAGATAAAATCACCTGACCTGTTTTTAAGAGGGGTAAAACCTTGAATTTTGAAGAAATTAAAGGTCATTAAAAGACACCTCAGAAGTCAGGAAAGCTCATTTCCGGCCATATAAGAATCAAAGTTTTCCCGCGGGAGGACCCCCCGAACACCCTTTCATTTTTGGGTTTATGGGAAAATGAACCCCCTCTTTCAAATTCTGGATCCGCCCCTCATTGTTATTATTATTATTTATTATTATTATTATTATTATTATTATTATTATTATTATTATTATTATTATTATTATTATTATTATTATTATTATTATTATTATATAGGCCTATATATATATATATGATATTGAAGGGAGTTAGCCGTTAACACTGTTGAATAAATATAATATAAATCATCAAAGGTACATATACAGTGTTTAAATAAGGACATGATGGAACATCGTAGGCTACCCTGTAGAACTAGTCGTATTGCCAGATTTATCTGGCCGAACGCCCTCTTGAGGCATAGCATTGTGTAATACAATGTTCCCGACGGTTATTTGGACCTGTTCAACCATGAGGCCTTCGTGGTCTAGTGGTTATGACGCTCGCCTTGTCAGCGAGAGGTCGCAGGTTCGAATCCCGTCGGAGGCATTTTATTACACAAAGACTTTATTCATTGAAAAGCTGCAGGGTAGCCTACGATGTTCCATCATGTCCTTATTTAAACACTGTATATGTACCTTTGATGATATATATATATAATCATTGCTATTTTCCTCATAATAATTAGTAATATAATTATTATCATTATTACATTTAATATGATTGTACATAGTCATTGTCATTTTACTTACTTGATCTCTATCTTCTGCATGTATAGTCAAGATCTCTGCTCCTTCGACAAAGTTTGTAAAAAAGGTTTCATACGATTCTTTGTCAAATTTGGGTGCATTGTCGTTTACATCAATTATGATAATTGATACATCTGTCTTTGTGTCAGAAGTCATATTCAAATAATACGGCATATCGTTGGATGCTACTACAGTAATATTAAATGAATCGATAATTTCCCGATCTAGTTGATCTTTAGTTTCTATCTCACCAGTATCACCATTAATTTCAAAATATAATGAATTTTCTGGAAATAATAAAAATATAAATAATGGTTTTGTCAGACATTAAGATTATCATATTGTCGTCTTTGGGAACTTATATTACTTACTGGTTACTTGTTACTCAGTATTTCCATAGCGCTTATTCCTTTCTGTTACAAAGCGGTAACTACCCTTCCCATACACCACAGCTGTATACAGTACAGCCCATCCCAACACCACCACCATATTAACGGAAAAGAGGGAAATACAAATAGGAAATGACTGTTGTGCACTTTATTTGATAAATAATGATACAAATTATGTTAATCGTGTTTAAAATATAGATACATTATCAACTCTATTTGAACGATTTTACAGCTGCGTTCCTTCCTATTTGAAAACAAAATTGAAAGGGAGCAAGTGGCTGTTGAGAGTATACCTTAACTCTAATGTCCCGCAGTAAAAAGTTGTGAGTATTCAGACGTTGATGGCACTGTTTAAAAATTCACATAATAATGGTCAATTCATGGTTAGGAAAGACAAAAATAAGGTGGTTGAGTGAACAGACAATAGGAAGCAGAATGATTGGTTGGTTGATTGCCTGATTGATTGATTGGTTGGTTGGTTGGTTGGTTGATTGATTGATTGATTGATGCCTATTAACTATTATTATAATATACTATACGCCAATATAGACACCAGGGAAACGTCTTTAAGTGTCGTTCTAGTTACAAAGAGGGAACAACTTATGTGTACTCTACTTATAGCTTTTACATGAATAGCTTGAATTTATTACGCTTAATACGCTACAGCACAATTTAATTTTTTGTATTGTATTTTATATATTCGAGTATAGTCAGTGGCGTATTTACGGAGTGTGCACGCCCCTCCATCAGGAGCTTGTGCCCCTCAGTCGCCCCCACCCCAAAAATATTCTAAACAAACATTAAAAATCATTTAATTTAATTTCACCATATTTTTCTCGCTAGCTTCCATCAATTAATCATCACCTACCACATTTAGCCTTAGCGCCCCATCAGTACAATAAATATTTTTAATCATGTTTTCGTATTATATTTTATAATTTCGAGTACAGTCAGTGGCGTATTTACGGGGTGTGCAGGCCCCTCCAAAATAAGCTTGTGCCCCTTAGTCGCCCCCACCCCAAAAATATTCTAAGCAAACAAATCAAAAATCATTTAATTTAATTTAATCATATTTTGCTCGCTAGCTTCCCTCAATGAATCATCACCCATCATATTTAGCCTTAGCGCCCCCATCAGCTCGCCCATTTCAATACATTTAGATACGCCACTGAGTATTATTTCTTGATGCATCGTACCTAGTAACTTATACTTCACACGGTTTGTAAAATTTGTCAATCCAATATCCTCATCAGTAGCGTAGACTTGACCAATCCTTGTTTGTATTTTAGCGTCTTCTCTTACTTCAAATCTGAATGACTCCTGTTATTTGAATAAATTACATCAGTATTATTTGTAGTATTCTTATATTTCTGATACTTAAATACTCCTGCTACTCATTAAGTTATACCAATTAATATTAATAGAGTTGTTATATTATTATTATTATTATTAAATCAAATCAATCAATCCTTCCATTGAAACTATCAATAAAAATAAAATAATTAGGCCTAGTTATTATTTTAACCAACATACGAATAAAGCGCATCAACGAACACTCATTAGTTATACATAAATATAAAAATATTCATTAGATATTAGAACGGGCAATATTGTAAATAACTACAAAAATTAAATTAGTAAACAAATTAAAAAGCTGGGCCACACAGACGACTGTGAAAGGATCTCTTTGGCCTACCAGTTTTGAAACAGAAATTGTTAATTGTTTTAGTTTAAACTTTTGGGTGGAGGAGAATTTTAATGTGAATAACCTCTTAGTGACATTCATAAAATCATAGATTATAACTGTTATGTTATTATTGATAAGACTAACTGTTTTATGCTACATGATGCCAGAGTACGCGTGCCTCCATGATGCAACCTTAAAGTCAGGCCTCCGGGGAAAAAATGTTCTGTGTTGTATAACTGATTTTCCAAAGACACAAAAAATATTGAAAAAATTTGTATCTAATCAGGGGCGGAACCAGTAGAGGGAACGGGGGAAACGTGATCTCTCCCCCTCCAATCCGTTTTGAAGCTAAATTGTTATAATTTCAATGCATATCAGTGCTATAGCACCGGTATGTGTTACCAACTTGTCTATTCCGAAACTGCTGTGCCTCCCCCTCCCACTGTTTGAAATATTCTGGATCCGCCCCTGCCCGTTAACCGTTTCCGTGTTTTTTTGTCAAACATCCTTTGGTGTTTTTAATAGCAAAATCAGTCAGGGGGCGGATTTAGGGGGCGCCTGCGACCCCCACCACCTTATATCACAAACATTTTTATTTTTTTATATATTTTTTTTAGATAATTGAATAGATACACAATTCCATAGAAAGGTTGATTCTATGTCACATCGCGCAATGCATAACTACAAAGACAGTTTAAGCGCAGATGCACCAGCATGGAAACCTTTGTGCAATCAATCACTATTATTACTACTATTGCTCATATTGCAATTGTTACTATTGCTATTGCTACTTTTGCTATTACTATTACTATTGCTAATACTCTTGATATTTTCTATCGTAAATGTTACCGTGAATTTTGGCAGGTTGTCATTTATATCCAAGATGGTTACTGGAACTACAGCGTAGTCTTTTAAGCCACTTTGGTCGGTAACTATCACAACAATCTATGGTATATAAATGATTGATAATAAATATTAGCAATCCAACATGCAACCACCTTGAAAAGTTTATTTAATTTGTTATGATCAATAAGATTACGGTATAACTGACCAACTTGGGTAAAATATTAAAAGAATAATTTAAATTGTCACCGTAAAAATGATAAGATATCATGATACAATGTTAAATATTTATTTTTATATTTTATATTTATATATATACCGTATATGTAT